ACCAGTTTCAAATCTATAGGTTTACCAAACAGTTCAGTGATGATCAATTAAGTCATATTAAATAATAGTAAAATGTATTTTAACAAATGAGAAGACAATCATATCAAAAGTAATGTGAGCGTTGCATTGTGAAAGGCAATTACTTTATATGAACATGTATTGCAATGTGAAACATCTATTTCTAGATGAAACACTGACTAAGTTTGGTGAAAAAGTGATTTTGTGTGTTATACTTAGTCAATTAAAAATGTGCTTAAGAGTTTTGAAACAACTGCCTTTTGATGATCTGTTTTGAGTTTTGTACAAAGCATTGTGAAAATGTACCAAATACTTGTGAAAATTGCACCAAAGCAAAAAAAATTAACTGCCATTTAATTTATGTAATTCACAAATGCCCATTCTCTCACTTCAATGGGCGAATCTGTCTGCACTGGTTCATGGCAAAGCGGTCGTGTTAGAATGACGCAATCTGTCGGAAGACAATGGCAAATGGCTTTGTCTGGGTTATGCCAAATGAACTGCAGATGAGTTTCCATGGCTCCCTTTCATGTACGGGTTGAAGCAAAACTTGCCGCCATAATCTCTGGGCAAAGAGTTGACCAGATTAAGAGATTAATCAGGTGTGTCATCTGTCAGCAGGCTCCAATCTGTGGTTTAAAACAAGGATTGTGTGTGTGTGTGTGTGTGTGTGTGTGTGTGTGCGTGTGCGCGTGTGTGTGCGTGTGTGTGTGCGTGTGCGTGTGTGTGTGTGTGCGTGTGTTTGGAGAGCAAGTTTAAGGAGTTTCATGGCAGACAGAAGCACTTGGAAAGCATGAGGCCAGCTGGTGAAAACAGCTGTCCATCAAACTGGTGGTTTACAGTATTTAGCTGACCTGCCAAATACGTGACCCTCTTGAAAACAGCCAAAGAAGTACTGGCGCAATTAAACCTACCACATTGTAGAAGAGGGTGTGTGTGGTTCAATGGACAGTGGCAACTACATCTGCCATACTGCATTGATCTGTGATTGTAGGTCAGTAAAACCAGTTAATTTATCTCAAAGAGCAAACCCCCCAAAAGTTACATAATTTAGAATAACATAATTTATCACTATAAAAAATCTGCTAAGTATGTGAGGTGATTGTATACATAAATAATGTATGATAAAGTCAAAGAGGATGGAATGTTTATTTCATCATAAATAAAAACACAAGAATCTACTGATATTGTTGTAAAAATCTACTTGGGAGTTTCACAGTGTTGACACAGTCACTTGGAGAATAAAGGATTATTTGTCAGAATGTTCAGTAATCACAGGGAAATATTTACATTCAAAACAGTACGCGTCACGACAACAGAACCTGACTGACGAGGTCTCTGTGGCACTTTTCTACTTAGCTGAGGCATTTAAGAGATAATACATATTTAAAGACTACCTTTACACACTTTTCAAAAGGGCTATTGTTATTAACAATTATGTTATTATTATAGTTATTCACCACACACACTGCATTTCTTTGTTTTTCAATGTAACTTTACCAAGTTGTTGTCAACAGTAAAATGTTATACATTCAAATTTATAAAATGAGTGTAGTACACTCTTGAAGGACAAGCACGTCCCAAATTGACTCTAAAAGTAAGTATAATGAAAAACACAGCAGACTTCTCTCTCCTTATTGGTACAATGATTCACAATGAATCACTGCTTTGGTTGATGCCACATTGATACATATTTAGTATAGTTAAGGGCTGTGAGAGAAAATGTTTGGTATTGATGAACATCTTCTTCACTTATTGATATTCTCTATTATAATCAACTACAGAAATGACTGAAAGACCAGGAAGTAACATAATGATGAATTCTGCAAGAGTGGCAGGTGTTTCGGAAGGTATGTGAAAGGCTCAAATCTCTTCATTAGATGTGTACTAGAGAGCTCTTCTCAATAGCCGCTTCTGTGACAGCATGGGCAGCGCATTGAGGGATATCTCAATTTTTAAGTAGTCAATTTCTTCTTCTTGTACTTCAAATTTCAAGTTTGAGTGTAGGTAGTTCGAAAATAAACTAAAAAGGTGCATACCAACACCTACTGTGCTGGAGTATGTAAAGAACAGGTATAAAGTCAAGGTTGGTGATTTACTGCCACCTGCAGTTATGGAATGTTTGCTCTGGAGTATAATTCATTGGCTGACTGCCCCTGCTGTCCTGGATGGAATTCTATGATCTTTCCAGTTAATGACTCCAAAATGGGGAAAGCCCTATGATGAGCTGCCCATGCTGTCACAGAAGCGCCATTGAGAGGAGCTCTCTAGTACACATCTATTGTATCTAATAATAATAAAAATAATAAACTTGGTGGGTGCTTACATTTGTCCTATTTCACACATGTACAAGTGTGTATTTATTGGGAATGTGTTTTTGCATATCCCACTCTCCCTGAGACACATATGGAGAGTGGGGTCACTGCCAGGGTCTGCCATTTTCAATGCTCTGCCATTTTCAACGGTGACCATGGAGCAATCTGGGGTAAGTGCCTTGCTCAAGGGCACAAAAACAGATTTTTCACCTTGTCGGCTTGAGGATTCGAATTAGTAACCTTTCGGTTACTGGCCAAACACTCTAACCGCTAGGCTACCTGCCGCCCTTATCTTCTGATTTTAGTAGTCTAGCAGCAGTCTGACACTAGCTAGCATTATGGGTACTGTAGTTCTTGGGGTATAATTATAATACTATGGTCATTTAGCAAACACAGTTAACACAGATACAGTACACTATTCAATATTATGTGGCAAACCCATAACTCAGTGATGCAAGCACCATGTTCTGTACAACTAAGTCATCAGAACTACAGATACAGACATGGGTGTTCGACTTTATCTTAAAGGTCCAATGCAGCCATTTTTATCTAAATATCAAATAATTTCAGGGTAACAATGAAGTACCTTACTGTGATTGTTAAAATGGTAAAAAACAAAAACAGAAATAGCTTCTTAGGAATGAGACTATCTGGGAGTGGTCCGAGTGGGGAGGGGAAAACAGAAAACTAGCTGTTATTGGCAGAGAGATTTTGAACTCTCTTTCTTATTGGTCTATTAACTAATTTACCGCCTGGTGATGTCAACAGGAAGGCCAAAACTCCATCCCACCAAAACAGGCTGACATTTCTGGCGGTCTTTTCAAACAGCTCTTACACTAAAAGGGCATTATTATAATTTTCACAGTATTATTCCAACATAGTGTGGAAATATATATAAAACACAGGAAATGTTTGTTTTTGACTGCACTGGGCCTTTAAGGCATTTCAAATATAGTGTTTCTTGCTTTGCGTGGGGCGTTATCATTCCAAAGTTTCAAACTAGTCTGTGCTTTGGTGGTTTGTCTCTACCACCAATCTCTTGAATATTTACCATCAATGAATTGAAATGTATCATGATTAAATACAATCAATGGCAATCCATCAATCAGTAGTAATCATACAGTTGCACAAATCCTGCATGTCTACTTTAATTATCTTTGGTTAATATAAGTTGCCTGGCTGATACCAAACTCCAAATCCAAGCCTCTGAGTCTGAGGGAGGCTGTTTGATGTTGTCAGCACGATGCGTCAATAATGAAATGGGCTGTGCTTTTACTGGTTGGTTCTCTTCTGTCTTTCTTACTCAAACACCCACAGGCACAGCCACACACATCTGCAGAGTGCCACCCCCTTCCAATACAACTGATGGATTTTCAAACCCCCAGAAAAGGGAAAAAAGTTTCAGAGAACCAACCAATGCAGCTGCTCTCTGAGACAACTGGAATATTACATTCTAAAGATCTTGTCTTTAGCCTAGTGGGGCGCAGTGGGCTGTGTTTTAATAATATAACAGGGAGTTTTGTCTAAATTAGCCAACATAATGTATCTGTATAAGGAAGGATAATGTCTAATTTCATTGTTTTCTCTTCTCATTACAGATTTCATAATAACCATCTCAATCAGTACATCACAGTACAGTACATTCCAGTATATTCATGGCAATGTTCTATAGCAAATGGAAACTGTTATAATCCTCATTGAAAAACTGCACACTAGAATTGTCTTAATTGTCGTTTGGAAATGAACCAGCTACAGTCAGACCTACTGATGTCTGTAGCTCCCTTAGTTGGCCAAATTCTATATTACTGTATGTAACCTTTTTCTAAAATGTTCCACAAAGCAATGGCAGAAGGAAGACTGAGGGAAAAATAGCGTTGTAGTTTTACAAACAGTTGAACATGACTTGTACAACATTCTGCTGCTTTCATGAACCCTAATAAATGTAACATTTGAGCAGAAACACCCTTGCAACCACACACCCCCCCCCCCCCACCCAAAGCCCCAAAAACAGGTATTTTAGCAAGTTGAACGGGGAGACTACGTCCTCTTGAATGTTGTTTGAATGTTATTTTCCTGCCCTGCTCTGTAGCATTATGGCAGAAGAGCAGGTTAGTACCAGTTGGCTCGGCCTACAGTTCTACCATCCTCATCCTCAGATAGCATTAGTTTCGTCTGAACCAGTGTTATGATACTGATGACTTGTCGCCACAGATGGTCTGTTTAGGTTTCTACCGTTGTGGCTAGATGGAGTAGGCCTACAGCGCCATCTAGTGGGCGTGTCGGGGACAACAGTTGTTGACAACTGTAGCATTGTAGCTAAGCCTAACCCGAACCCTTTTCCTAACCTTAACCTCAATCTCCTAACCTGCCACGTTAATTATCCTAACCTGCTATGTAAACCATCTGTGGTGACAAATCAGCAGTATCACCACCCCGGTTGAGGGACAAGCATCGTGTAGGAGTGACGCCACATGTTAGAAGACAGTGGCCAGGATTAAATCCAAGTCGCATTGTAGAGCAGCGCCCTAGACAGCCGACAATGCGTCTTTTAAAGGTAATTTACGCTTGAGCCAACATTTGCATCATTCACCATGAATGTGATCTCCACGAAAGCTGGGGAAATTGCCTTTAAAAGGCGCACTGACGGCTGTATAGTGTGCTGCTTTATAACGCACCTTGGATTGAATCCTGACCAAGGCTTCAGTCCTTCTCCCTTCAATCCCCCAGGCCATTGTGAGAGCCCTTCAGGTACACATCATCCTGTGACAGGGGCCCGTCGTAAGCCTCCATGTAAAGACTGCTAGTGCTACTGCCACTGCTGCCCAGGAAGGTGCCCACGGCCCGACCCTGGCGCGCATGACCCACCGCGTCGCTGAACACCTTGTTGATCTGCTCCTCAGAAGGCATCCACCAGTCAGGGTTGGAGGCACAGTGCATTCGGATAAACTCTGAGGAGTACAAGTCAATATTTGTTATGATTAGAAAAAATCTGTTTTATTAATAAACATCACTGCACACAATTTGATGTTGCAAACATCTGTTCACACATCTCTTTAGTAGCATACATGTTGTTGTAGTGCCCATCTCTTTAGTAGCATACATGTTGTTGTAGTACACATCTCTTTAGTAGCATACATGTTGTTGTAGTACACATCTCTTTAGTAGCATACATGTTGTTGTAGTACACATCTCTTTAGTAGAGATGCCGCCAGTACCTCTGAGGCAGGTGACTTTGACGGGGTTGAGCGGCCGTCTCTCCGGCCCAGGCTCTCCTGAGTGAACGGAGCGTTTCCTCTTGCCCAGGCCACACGAGTACTTGAGCTCGTCCGTAGTGAAGACGAAGCGGATCAGGTAACGCAGCAGCCGCCGGCCGTCCTTCTTCGACGAGTTGACTGCCTCGTCCCACTGCTTGTTGGTGATGAAGAGGGGGTAGTTCCCCAGGAGCTGTTTACTGCCCTGAGGAGGGGTAGGAAGAAGGGAAGAGGGTGAGAATGACAGGAGGCTGGTGAGGGGAGGACGGCTCATTATAATGGCTGGAATGGAGTGAATGGAATGGTATAAAACCTTGCTTTTGATGTGTTTGATACCATTCCATTTATTCGGTTTCAGCCATTAGTATGAGCCTGTCCTCCCCATTTTAAAATTGCCACAATCCACCACTGGTGAGAATGGTACGGCTTAGTTATGAGCTCTGAGTACCCTGCCATAGAGCCAACAGGGTTGGGGTCAATTCCATTTCAGTTCAGCCAATTTAGAAAGTAAACTGAAGTCAACTGAAATTCCTTTTCCAAGCAATGAAACGAAAAGGAACATTGGAATTGGATTACAGTTGACTTCCTGAATTGACTGAATTGAAATGGAATTGACCACAACCCTGAGGGGCACTAGCAGGGTATTAAAAAGTGCATTCATGCTGTCAAAGCATTCAGAAGAAGTGCAGTCATTCATGTGTTACAACAAGGTCATTAACTTCATGCTCAATGTGTAATGGAGAACTATGATATTTGTAGTTAGTCTAGTTTCTCAAATAAATCAAAAACATTATTTGTGCTATACACCTGATACCAACAATAACCAATTCCTATCGTTGTAAACCCATTGCCCCATAGAACAAGAAGTTATTCTCAGGTTTAACTGCAATGTTGAGGAAAAGGTGGCAGTGGTGTCCATTAACGTTTTCTCCATTTAACAGAACCTATTTTATCTTATTATGCAACACTGTTGCAAGATGATATTTTCACATCCTTAATAGAGAAGTTGATTTGAATGGCAGTTTCACATCTTGTGCCACTAGTTTCAGTTTGATCTATAAAGCTGCTGTGCAACTGAGTTGAACATTACTTAAAGGGAGTCAGTGACAACATCCCACAAAATCTATATCTCCATTCCCCTATTTAACTGGGCTTTTATGTGACTGTTTACTCCAAAATCAAAGTTTGTTATTTTGTCAGAGATGAGTCCATGTCAAATGCCATTTGTTGTGTAGGTCATGCTTGATTAAAACATGAATGGGAAAGATAGGCCCCAGTTAATTTCACATTTTTGTTCAATCCATATAACAGATTGTGAGACTCTTTTTGATACTGGACTACTTTTGAGGTCTCAAAATGTCTGACAAACTAGGATGGGGGTGGGGATGATGACGCTTCTCAAGCCACCAAGGTGAGTAGGTGATATTTGACTGAGTAAGGCCCATTAGAAAGACAGAAACTAAGTGAGGGGTCATTCCATTACATAGAGTAAGAAAACACATATTGAAAACACAAACCTCATATGTTTTCCGTTCTTCTTCCTGTAGAGATAGAGCGCTCTTTAGATCTAAAAGTTCACCCTGGTGTCTTATTTTGCATCTCTCATGTAACATCTATAATATACACAGTGGCCGTGTCCGAATACCCGTACTAAGCTTCTAAATAGTAGGCATTTTGGGTATGCAAAAATATAACGTTTTATACTATGTGAAATTTCAGAAATGTAGTATGCTATAAAGGATGTCATACTGTACTCACTTCGGCTTTTCCGAAATGAGTATGGCTGGGGCCCTCCCTGGGTCGGCCCCAGCCCTCCCTGGCCCTCTCCCCCCATCTCCCTGGGACAGGGAGCTGGCTGGATGGAGTTGCGGCCTTGGCTGGGGGGCGGGCCCCATCTCCGGGGGTTGCTCCCCCTCCCTGGGTCGACGCCAGCCCTCCCTGTCCCTCTGGAGCTCTCGCTCATTCAATTCAATGAAGCGCGGGTAAACGGTTGGAGTGACTAGAACTGTCTTGGCATTCGTGATTCACCAGAGAAGGCCCCTGTCGGCCGGCATCTAGCCGGTGTTCGGACAGACAGTTCCTCTCACCCCACGTGGATTGGCCTCCATCGGCGGAGCCCTTTTCGGAGACAGTTCACCTTTGGTAACCTTGAGCCGATCGCGCGGCGTGAACCTTTGTGGCGGTGACACTCCAATAGCGTATCTTTAAGTTACTGCAGTTAAAAAGCCTGTAGTTGGATCTCGTGATCGAGCTGGCGGTCCGCCGCGAGGCGAGCTACCGCCTGTCCCAGCCCCTGCCTCTCGGCGCCCCCTCGATGCTCTTAACTGAGTGTCCCGCGGGGTCCGAAGCGTTTCCTTTGAAAAATTAGAGTGTTCAATACAGGCCCGGTCACTTGAATACCTCAGCTAGGAATAATGGAATAGGACTTCAGTTCTATTTTGTTAGGTTTTCTTCTGAACTGGGGCCATGATTAAGAGGGAATGCCGGGGAATTCGTATTGTGCCGCTAGAGGTGAAATTCTTGGACCGGTGCAAGACGGACAAAAGTGAAAGCATTTGCCAATAATGCTTTCATTAATCAAGAACAAAAGTTGGAGGTTCGAAGACAATCCGATACCTTCGTAGTTCCGACCATAAACGATGCCAACTAGCGATCCGGCAGCATTATTATTATTTTTTTGTCATTTAGCAGACGCTCTTATCCAGAGCGACTTACATGAGCAATTATGGTTAAGTGCCTTGCTCAAGGGCACATCGACAGATTTGCCACCTAGTCAGCTCGGGATTAGAACCAGCAACTTTTCGGTTACTGACACAACGCTCTTAACCACTAAGCTACCTGCCATGGCATTATTCCCATGACCTGCCGGGCAGCGTCCGGGAAACCAAAGTCTTTGGGTTCTGGGGAGAATATGGCTGCAAAACTGAAACTTTAAGTAATTGATGGAAGGCCTCGAAACCATTGCCGCACCAGGGCGAGCAACCCGGGTCATCAAAACTGGCACCTACGGTAGACGCCATCAGGTTGAGCAAGCAAGATCTTCCACAGTCCTATGTTCCGGGGACTCTGGGGGCAAAAGTTCCGGGAGATTAGATGCATCAGTCCGGCTAAGCCAGACTCGCAAGCACAGAATACGCAAAGGAAACACTGGAAACACCTTGCCGGCACCGGGCGTTATTACAAAATTGAATGAGCCCCGGACTAGCCGTCCAATAAAACGGCGCTGCCTAAATCATTCTCAGTCCACAAGCCCAGGTATTGTAGCGCCTGAGTTGGTGAGCGGATTGTATGATTTGACAACGCTATACTCGAGGTGCACTCTGTGTGTCCTAAACGTGCTCTGTGTCCAGATAGCCTACTGCTGAAATGCTCTGAATTAATTGAGGAACATTATGAACGGCCTGTTTCACTATTCACAACAATGTAATTGGCGATCAAAGATAGTTCCTCTATCATTCCTGAATATCAGTTTAATTTGTCCTGAAATCTTTACATAGTGACGCAGCCAAGCTGACAAGGTGGCGCAGCGACAATCTTATTTGGGGAGAACCCTGGCATAGTGACCATATCTTGGTTTTAAACACTTTAAATGGGCGCTTCCGATTTTTGCTGTATTTCCTGGGACTCTGGATAAATATGAATTATTCTCGGTATTGAAACAAGGTAGATTTTCTGGAAAAGATTAATCCCTCCATGGGTAAACGGCTATGTTGAACCCACCTGGCCCCTGGATCAGCCTAAATTAATATCAAAGTGAAGAAATTCAAAGTGTAGCTGTGGGACCGGCTTAGCCCAATGAACGTCAAAGTGAAGAGGGGACTCAGACGACCATGCAGGCCGAAGGGAGTAAACACTGGATGACACGGTAAGTGCTGTCCTCTCACAACACACATCCACCCATACTCACACACACATACACACTTGGTAAGGTGCGCGGACACAGTACAGTAACAAGTATCACAAACACACTCACACTGGCAAAACTCACACAGTCTTACACTTCATACATTGGCTGAGGGCGCTACCATCCGATTCCCAGCCGAATAATCCCTCTTGTGTTGCCTTAGGTGTTTCCAAGTGCTGGACAGAACAAGCAGTGAAAATAATACTGATTACTGCCCACCCCAGCTGAAGGACGCCGGTTAGTAGTGTCAGTCCTTGGCTCTCTCTTCTCCAGGTAAGTAATGCGTAGCACATTGATGACTAGATAGGGCGACTGACGGCCAGTCTGCAAGCCATAAAAGGATCAGAACTACACTGACATGTGTCTAAACCGAATGCCAAGCCTTGTTTCGCCGGTGCTCCTTATCTCAAAGTGAAGAAATTCAATGAAGTGGGTAAACGGTGGGCAACTTTGAGCCTCTTTAGGAAGCCAACTAGTTACCAGGTACATGGCTGGACCCCCAGCCCACCCCCGAGGGCCCCTGGAAATTGACTCCCTGTCAAAATAATGGTTAAATAAATCAAATAAAAAAGAGAAGGGGACGCGCTCTACCAAAATGAACGAATGGTGGGAAACATTGCAATTGCACATTAGATGACGCCTTCTCAGAATGGATGTTGATATTTGTACGTACTGCTTTCATTGTTTACTAAACAGTACGTTCTAAATATAGCATGTAGTACAATTAATACACAGTATGCAGTAAGTAGTAGGCAAGACAGATTTCAGACACGGCCAGTGTGACTAGTGATAAAACATATAAAAAGGTACAGTACAGTACCTGACAGAAACTGGAACAGACCAAGAGTATTTATTTCTAGAAAGACACAGTCTGTGTTTTGAGACAAACTGATTTCTTGCCTCTGTTAGTTGTTCCTCTTCCATGGGCTGTATAAACTGGTCATGGTGCTGGAGAACAGTCTTGAAGAAGTCCAGCACATTCTGGCAGGGAGCTGGAAGGAGATCAGGGTTATAAAACCCATCAAAAAGATTTGATTGTAAGTCTGGGGTGTCTAACTGTAAGTCGCTCTAGATAAGAGCATCTGCTAAATGACTAAAATGTAAAATACAGTGCTCTCCGTAATTATTGGGACAGTGACACGTTTTGTTGTTTTGGCTTTGAGATGATACATGAGGGTAAAGTGCAGACTGTCAGCTTTAATTTGAGGGTATTTTGATCCATATCGGGTGAACCATTTAGAAATGACAGCACTTTTTGTACATAGTCCCCCCATTTTAGGGGACCAAAGGTATTGGGACAAATTCACTTCACTCAAATCCAAAGTGCTGGAGTACAGAACCAAAACAACAACAACATATTCCGGAGGGCACTGTAAATCTTTAACTTGACATAAAAAGTAATGTACTACACCACATGGTTACCACCCTCAGTTGGCACTGTGTCATTATTGTGACATGCTATGTCGAGTCACAGGGTAAAGACCCAAATCCACAAGTTGTCTTGGGCAGCAAAATTAGCACATCGTCTCACTTTCTTCAGGTATTTACGGGTGACGTGGCCTTCTATTGTATCCACATACCAAGTCACAATCTCACATTACTGAAACCCTGGTACTGTACCTGGTATGTTGTCCATCTTGTTCCGCAGTTCTTCATTCTCCTGCTGCAGACACAGCACCTCCTGCTCCAGCTCCACACAGCGAGGGCAGCAGCTCTCCTCCTCCTCCTCTTCCTCCTCCGGCAGGGTGGACGAGGGGTGGCCATACGAATCCGAGGGGGCCGGTGAGCTCCAGCCCCCCAGGTTGTGGCCCGGTGACCCCCCAGACTCGGGCTCAGCCGGTGGGCATTGCTCTCCCTCGAGGCCCGGGCCCGGGTGAGGCTGCTGGTTCCCAGTGAGCAGATAGCTCTGGAGGGACTCCGTGAAGATGCGCAGGAAGGCGGATGTTTGTTGTTGGCTCCAGTGGCTGTGCTGGGCTTCGTCATCAGGGTCGACGGTGGAGCTCTCCTCAAGCCGTGGCGTGCCCAGGGTGGGGTAATGACCCCCCTGACCCGCGACTGGCTTTGACTCCCCCCCAGGTCCAGAGAGGCAGCTGTCCTCCTGCTTGATGTGGGAGGTGAGAGAGGAGGGCAGAGGAGCTTGCGGCTCCACGAACCGGCCGTTGTTGTTGAGAAGAGTGAGGACCCGGCTACACTGCTGTGCGAAGGCATCCAAGATGAGACGGTTTTCTAGAGGAACAGAGAGTGAGCCGATAATGATAGCCAAGGCGTTCACTGTGACATTCAAGTCAACCAGCATATTTTGGCATCAACCTTTGGGCATCAACACATTTCTACATTTCCACAGTCCTTGATTACTTGGAATTGAATTGATGGTATGGATTAAAAAACACAGAAGAGCATGGACTAGGTTGGTGGTTCAGAAGAGCATGGACTAGGTTGGTGGTTCAGAAGAGCATGGACTCGGTTGGTTGTTCATAATACTGCAGTAGGATTGCTTCAGTCTTATCCCTTTCTCAGTCACCTCTACTTGACTCTCAAATTCTATATAAAGGTGTTGCAGTTTCTGCTTCACTGCTCTGGCTTCCTCCCCTCACCACCCTCACTCCACTCTATCTAGATCCTCCCCTCACCACCCTCACTCCACTCTATCTAGCTCCTCCCCTCACCACCCTCCCTCCACTCTATCTAGCTCCTCCCCTCACCACCCTCCCTCCACTCTATCTAGCTCCTCCCCTCACTACCCTCACGCCACTCTATCTAGCTCCTCCCCCTTTTCTACAAGTCATATTTGACCCTGGTACAGGGTCCCTCCATTCAATTGCACTCTTGTACAAGGAAGCTGGTTGAGTCAGATGTCAATATATAGGCCTACACTAGTCCTTCCCTTGCCATTGTTGCCTGTGCTTGCTCTTTGGGAGTTATAGGCTTGGGTTGCAGTTTAGCACTTTTTGATAAATGCATTTGATTTGATAATATCATCCATAACAGCAGCTCTCCCTGTGTCCTTCTCCCAGCAGTCTCCGTACATCGGAATGAGATGATCTCGCACATCTCCCCTCTAATGATTACGAATGTGTCGCCTTCACACACAAAGAGACAAGGCAGGTAATTATGAGTGCAGACAGCTACCCACGACGCCCTCGCTGCAACTGGGCGGGAGGCCCGGCACTCTGGCAGCCGCTGAGACGTGTCTATCGGCCTAGCGCAGATGTGTCGCATTTATTAATATGCGTGCCGTCTTTGTTTACCCGCCGAGATGTATCTGATATCATCCCCCCGTGCCTCCGTCCCTCCCACTTCTCTTGCTCCCTGGTACTGTGCATGGGGAGACAGCCTCATAAAATGTCATTAAATACAACATGCTCCGCGGAGGCAAATTTATGAGCCCCATTTATTTTAATCACAACTCTTTGGAAAAGCTTTTAAATGCAATTTGCTTTATTGTGTGCGGATCTCAGGGCTGGCATCCTTGGGCTCCTCCTTCTGTCTGTGGGATGCATAATGGGGAAGAGAAACCACCTCTGTCTGACTGTCACCTCCAGGGAAATGTGCTCTTATCACTGTAATCATTAAATCACATGAATACTTAGTTGTATTTGGTAGCTTTTGTCGTATGGTTAACAAAATATATACCCTTTTTGTACTATCGCGCCGAACTGACCCAAACGTGCTCGCTCTATTATTTTCTTTACACACTGTTCTTTTCAGCACAATTACAGCAGCTTGGTTTAGGTCAACTCGGTTCGGCTCAGTGGAGTGAAAAGCCCTATACTGTATCCAATGCAGATACCTAAGAACTGTGTAAATCTGGGCTTTGAATTGGGTTTTTAAGACAATAAAATTGGAAGCCCCAGTACCATAGGAGCAGGTTAGTTAAAACGTAGTGATTGTTCAGGGAGGCCTATAGGCCTACAATAGAGCATCTAATACTGTATGAGGCCTGTACTTTGTCACTACCCTGGATAATGGCACGAGGCGACATGACAATTACTTTACCTATTAGGCTTAATGCTACACCACAGTGCTAATACAGTAGACAGTATAAGCTAGATAGTGCTGTGTCAGTGTAACAACAATCTCAGAATACTGAAGCTCAACCCCCCCCTGCTAGTGGAGTGATAAGGAGATTTACACTACCGTTCAAAAGTTTGGGCTCACTTAGAAATGTCCTTGTTTTCGAAAGAAGAGCTATTTTTTTGTCCATTAAAATAACATCAAATTGATCAGAAATACAGTGTAGACATTGTTAATGTTGTAAATGGCTATTGTAGCTGGAAAAGGCTGATTTTTAATGGAATATCTACATAGGCATACAGAGGCCCATTATCAGCAACCATCAGTCCTGTGTTCCAATGGCACGTTGTGTTTGCTAATCCAAGTTTATCATTTTAAAAGGCTAATTGATCATTAGAAAACCCTTTTGCAATTATGTTAGCACAGCTGAAAAATGTTGTGCTGATTAAAGAAGCAATAAAACTGGCCTTCTTGAGACTAGTTGAGTATCTGGAGCATCAGCAATTGTGGGTTCAATTACTGAATCAAAATGGCCAGAAACGAAGAACTTTCTTCTGAAACTCGTCAGTCTATTCTTGTTCTGAGAAATGAAGGCTATTCCATGCGAGAAATTGCCAAGAAACTGAATATCTCTTACAACGCTGTGTACTACTCCCTTCACAGAACAGCGCAAACTGGCTCTAACCAGAATAGAAAGAGGAGTGGGATGCCCCGGTGCACAACTGAGCAAGAGGACAAATACATTAGAGTGTCTAGTTTGAGAAACAGACGCCTCACAGGTCCTCAACTGGCAGCTTCATTAAATAGTACCCGCAAAACACCAGTCTCAACGTATATAGCCATTTGCAACATTAACAATGTCTACACTGTATTTCTGATAAATCTGATGTTACTTTAATGGACAAAAAAATGTATATCCTCATCAATCAACACACAATACACCATAATGACAAAGCAAAAACAGTTTTGACATTTTTGCAAAATGTATAAAAAACAGAAATACCTTATTTACATAAGTATTCAGACCCTTTGCTATGAGACTCAGAATTGAGCTCAGGTGCATCCTGTTTCCGTTGATCATCCTTGAGATGTTTCTACAACTTGATTGGAGTCCACCTGTGGTAAATTCAATTGATTGGACATGACTTGGAAAGGCACACACCTGTCTATATAAGGTCCCACAGTTGACAGTTTATGTCAGAGCAAAAACCAAGCTATGAGGTGGACACCAATCAAGTTGTAGAAACATCTCAAGGATGATCAATGGAAACAGGATGCACCTGAGCTCAATTTCGAGTCTCATAACAAATGGTCTGAATATTTATGTAAATAAGGTCTTTCTGTTTTTTATTTTCTATACATTTGCAAAAATGACTACAAAACCTGTTTTCGCTTTGTCATTAACACCAGAGCTTTCTTTTCAGCACCATGGAGTGAATCCTTACCACCGCTACAAGGAAATGTCTAAGTGACCCCAAACTTTTGAACGGTAGTGTATATCTGTGGGGGAAACAGGATATCTGTTTAATTTAGTAACAAAACTGCTTCCGGCTCTGGTCAATGGTAGTGCACTATAATGGGGATATGGTGCCAACTGGGATGCAGATCAAGGTTCCTATAGAAATAGAATTGTGTTTTTACTATTTTTTTGAGAAACCAGTTTGCCTGCTTTTGCTCAAAAGCAGTGCACATCATTACAATGGATGTTTCTGAAGAAAATATTTCACACAGGAATAAACACAAACTCTGGAACACAAACACACTTCAACAACTGCACAACCCTATCACTCATTTGAGCACACACATACCCTACAGTGGGCCTACTCAGTCATGACTGCTTATTGTCAGTAGTGCAAAATATCTATCACAGAAAATGACAGACAAATGGGAGAGATTAATGGGGATATTGATGAGGATCAAATCAAATTCTATTTGTCACACGCTTACTTACAAGCCCTTAACCAACAATGCAGTTTTTATAAAATAAGAGTTAAGAAAATATTTACTAAATAAACTAAAGAAAAAAAGTAACACAATAAAATAACAATAACGAGGCTATATATACAGGGGGGTACTGGTACCGAGTCAATGTGCGGGGGTACAGGTTAGTCAAGGTAATTGAGGTAACATGTAGGTAGGTGTAAAGTGACTATGCATATTTAATAGCTAATAAACAGCGAGTAGCAGCAGTGTAAATCGTCCGGGGAGACATTTGATTCATTGTTCAGCAGAATGATAGAGATAGAAGGGAACAAAGATGGAATAAAGAAGTACGGGATTGCTTTCAGTTCCTAAATTGAACTTGGTATGTACAAAACTTTAGGAAGACCTTCCTAATATTGACTTGCACCCCCTTTTCCCTCAGAACAGCCTCAATTCGTCAGGGCATGGACTCTACAAGGTATCGAAAGCGTTCCACAGGGATGCTGGCCCATGTTGACTCCAATGCTTCCCACAGTTGTGTCAAGTTGGCTGGATGTCCTTTGGGTGGTGGACCATTCTTGATACACACAGGAAACTGTTGAGTGTGAAAAACCCAGCAGCGTTGCAGTTCTTGCCACACTCAAACCGGTACGCCTGGCACCTACTACCATACCCCGTTCAAAGGCACTTAAATATTTTGTCTTGCCCATTCACCCTCTGAATGGCACACATACACAATCCATGTCTCAATTGTCTCAAGGCTAAAAAATCCTTCTTTAAACGGTCTCCTCTCCTTTATCTACACTGATTGAAGTGGATTTAACAAGTGACATCAATAAGGGATCATCGCTTTCACCTGGATTCACCAAGTCAGTCTATGTCACGGAAAGAGCAGCTGTTCCTAATGTTTTGTACACTCAGTGTCTAGTTACTGCTCTCCGCTGGACTGATAAGCCATCATGGTTTCATTAGTTGTTCTATTACTATTTTATTAGGCTATCTTTATCACTTTAACCTATAATACCCAAAATAGGCCTAGGCCCTACTTACATTTACATTTACATTTTAGTCATTTAGCAGACGCTCTTATCCAGAGCGACTTACAGGAGCAATTAGGGTTAAGTGCCTTGCTTAAGGGCACATCGACAGATTTTTCACCTAGTCGGCTCGGGGATTAGAACCAGCGACCTTTCGGTTACTGGCACAACGCTCTTACCCACTAAGCTACCTGCCGCCCTGGTGAATCAAAAAATTGTCTTTGTGCAAAATACAAAAAAATCAACCAAAAACTGTTGTTTGTAAACAAATGTGTGTCCTAATGGAACAACCATGCAAATAGCCTACCTAGTATCGTCTGGATATGGCTAAATACTTATGGCATATTTCAAAACTGGTTTATGGATAGAATATTATAGAATAATAGCATTACACATTTAGAAAAAAAGGTGCTGGAACCTAAAAGGGTTCTTTGGCTGTCCCCATAGGAGAACCCTTTGAAGAACAATTTTTTAGTCCAGGTAGAACACTTTTGGTTCCGGGTAGAACCCTATTGGCCTCCATGTAGAACCCTTTCCCCAGAGGATTCTACCTGGAACCAAAAATGGTTTTCCTATGAGGACAGCCGAATAACCTTTTTGGAACCCTTTTTTCTGTGTTGGAAAGGATTTTAATACTAACCTGAGAATATATTTCTAACAGTTGTTGCGTTCCATTTTACGCGCACAGCCAACAGGCCTAGACATCCTCTTGTCTAGTCCAACACCTAATTCCTAAAATAAAGGCTAAACTTTTCCTCATATCACTTTGTCAACAAGTTTGAAAACATACCTGAGCTTATCCTGTAAGTGCAGTCGGGAGATTCGTGGTTGAGCGCGGCTCGTCCAGGCGAAAACGTGGGGTCCTGGCGCACCGCCGTGCCGCTGCCGACCCTCCCCTGGAAACCAAGTGATGCTGCCGCCACACTCCCCACTGTTGCTGAAGTAGATGTCGCGGGTCTACTGCTGGGCCTGTTATCGCATGCGAAACGCTGTTGCTGCTGCAGCTGCGGTGTCGCGAGATACTGGCTGCTGCTGCTTATGGTGAGGGAGGTTTGGTGGAGCTGCTGTTGCTGCTGCTGTTGCTGATACTGTTGTTGATAAGGATGATGGTGATTGAGATGATGATTGTAGTGATGACCGCCTCTGTCTCCCAGCAGCGGGATATCGACCATTGTGGGTCTGTCGAACCGCGCCTTCCCCGCCAACCGCTTGTTTGGGAAGGTCTTGAGGCTGCTGTATGGACCCCGCTGCTGACGGCACATCTTTGGGGCGCAGAGACCCTCGTCGGCAGGTTGCATTTCCCCCTCCATCACTGCAAGTTTCAACACGCAGTAGTGACTCGAGCTCGCTCTTGTCGTGTCCTTGTCTGGTGACTGGTTATCTTTTTCGCCACCGTCTCGCTGTCTGGCTCAGTTTCCCCCCAGTAGTGCACTTTAATATTCAGAGGGTGGGCTAATTTACTGACAAGCCACAGCTCCAATCCCCAGATGGGGGCGCCGTGTAAAAAAGTGATTGTGCCAAGAGGGAAATACAGGCGCGATCTGCACACCCCGCTGTCTGTACACAGTGTCTCTAATAGCCTACATGAGCACACACAGCTTTAAAGCAAAAATGATATCGATTAAGCTATAGCGGCCATTTTGCCTCTGAGGACAAGCTAGGTAGAGAGAATATGCTACCCCTTCACTATGACAACGGCCTCAAATAAGTGTGCCTCCCAAAATGACACCTAAAATGAATAAGATAGCCTAATTGGGTTGTGTTTGGCTTTTGGAATGTTTGAAATAAACCTACAAGAGACCAAACATGGCATGATTGTGTACATTTACATGCACACTAATAATTCGATATTAAACTGATTATGGCAGAAGGCTGAGTATGGCATTAGTCATGTAAACCCTTTACTCTGTTTATCTTAATCGGCATTAGGTCATAATCGAAGTAAACATACACAGATTAAAACACCTGGTTTTCTGAGCAATCTTTCGAATTATTAGAACATGTAAACAGCTTAATCGGCGTTCCAGCGGTGTATTTGATCTGCGCATGTGCCAGCACCGGGTACTGCAAGCCTCCCTATTCGCAAGTGAAGTGAGTTCGGAAAAACTAAAAGTATGCGTCTTATAAATAGTTTTCAAATACAATCAGTGCTGGAAAAAGTACCCAATTGTCATACTTGAGTAAAAGTAAAGATATTTTAATAGAAAATGACTCCAGTAAAAGTGAAAGTTACCCAGTAAAATACTACTTGAGTAAAAGTCTAAAAGTATTTGGTTGTATCAAAAGTAAATGTAATTGCTAAAATATACTTAAGTATCAAAGTAAAAGTAAAAGTATAAATCATTTCAAATTCCTTATATTAAGCAAACGAGATGGCACAATTTTCTTGTTTTTTACATTGATAGATAGCCAGGGGCACTCTCCAAAACTCAGACATAATTTACAAAGAAGCATTCGTGTTTCTCGTAAGTCCGCCAGATCAGAAGCAGTAGGGAATGTAGTGAAGTAAAAGTTGTCAAAAATATAAATAATGAAGAAAAGTACAGATATAAAAAAAAACTACTTAAGTATTACTTATGAAAATGTATGCACTTACTAACTGTAAGTCGCTCTGGATAAGACCGTCTGCTAAATGCTGCTAAATGACTAAAATGTAATATGTGTTGGATAATTGTCTGTTTACTTCGTATGTGTATTGGGCCTCCTGTAGCTCAGTTGGTAGAGCATGGCGCTTGCAACGCCAGGGTTGTAGGTTCGATTCCCACGGGGGGCCAGTATGAAAAATGTATGCACTCACTAACTGTAAGTCGCTCTGGATAAGAGTGTCTGCTAAATTGTAAAAATGTACTTTAAAGTACTTTACACCACTGCATACAATACATTCAAAAGTCCTATCGGTAGCCTAATTTCAGATGTGTCCATGTAAACACGATTATTAGGGAAATCGTTTTTCTCGCAAAGCATGTAAACGTTTTAAACGAACTATTATATTAACCTGACTAAACCACAATAATCGCATTATTGTGTGGATGTAACAGTGCTCATTGTCACATCTAATAGCCTACTGATGCCATTAATTTGCTCATATGCCAGTCCATATATATTTTTTATAATTCACCAATCAACAGCGTTTCTCATTGGCCTATTATATGAGAAAACAAATAAAAGGCGGAAATTATACAAAATAAAGGTGTCAGATTTTATTTTATTTCCAGAAATGGCCATGAAACTGTATTCAGTATAGGCCTACACTCTTGGAAAAAGGGTTCCAAAAGGGTTATTCGGCTGTCCTCATAGGAAACCCTCTTTGGTTCCAGGTAGAACCGTTTTTGGGTCCAGGTAGCTTCTGTAGAAAGGGTTCTACCTGGAACCCAAAAGGGTTATTCTACCTAGAACCAAAAAGGGTTCTTCAAAGGGTTCTCCTATGGGGACAGCCGAAGAACCCTTTAAGGTTCTAGATATCACACTCAGAGCCATCTGAGTACGCTTTCCTCAAGCCTACATTTAGCTATTAGATGTATATAAGAATATCCATTAACCTCTAGATAGGATAAGCAAACCATTAATCGAATAAGGTATTACATCCAACCTGTAAATAAAGTAGGCTATACAAACGGCAATATAATAAGGTGACAATCAAAGTTTTTGTAGGCCACCAGAGGGCGACACATCAATTTGGCGATTTGGGGGAAAGTTACAGAGGTGATGACGCAAACAAGAGACAAATGACAACCTTAGTTGTCTTTTATCTCCAACAATTAAAAATAACAAAATAACAACTTTTTGGCATATAATCACTATAACAGACTATCTAAATGGTTGGCTCTGTATTGATATTCCTTGTCCTATTGATAAGGACAGAGAAGGGCACGCATGACTACGGAAGCCTATGTCCTCTCAGCATCACTTTGCAATAGGCTTCTTTCCGCGTAAGGACGCAAAAGCGCCCGCTCCATCATGAATGCGCACGTCTGGTGGTCAAAGGAATGCGTGCGCGCCTACTGAGTCGGTCTAAGAAAGCAGCACATTTCAAATGAGGTTGGACACCAGACGACCGTAGCCATCCATAACACTTCGTCTTCACCGACCTGAACAACTACTTTGATTAAGAAAGTACACCTTTTTTTCTTGTTTCCAAAGGAACACAGGGAAGTGAAGAAATGTTTGGGTAAAGTTCGGATACACTCTTGGCTAGTTATATTTCTGATGTCCTTTGCCTGCGCAATAATGACATTTTGAGAGGAGGGAAACAGTCATTACATTTTGAGAGGAGGGAAACAGTCATTCATCTGGACAACCGTGAGAGTTCAATCAAAGCTTCTTTTACACCTGTGACCTGATTCTGGATCGACTTTGGTTGAGGAGATTATATGCCAAATGGATGGAAATGCAAACATAAACATAAATGCAAAAGTATTCGTATGGTTGCATTAAAATCAAACGAATGATGACAATTCTAACAAATTGAACCAGTTGGGGATTCAACCGTGGAATTGTTTCAACCCGCATTCATCATGCGAATTTGTTGAATGCAAAGAAACGCAAGTGTTAAAGAATAGTGCATAGACTACTAATAAGGTGTTGTCGGGATGGTGCGCCTGCTGAACTACCTCATGCTGGGGTACCTGACCTGGAATCTACGGATATCAGACGCACAAGGAGAGTACTGCCATGGGTGGCTGGACAGTAATGGAAATTACCACGAGGGCTTTCAGTGTCCGGAGGACTTTGACACCATGGACGCAACCGTGTGCTGCGGGTCTTGCTCCCTGCGGTACTGTTGCGCGGCCGTGGACGCACGGCTGGACCAGGGAAGCTGTACCAACGACAGAGAACAGGAGAACACGGAGTTTGCAGCGCGTAAGTTTAGACTTCCAAAGCATGCAGAGCCTGGCAGGAGTGGACAAGTTAATGCACAAGTAACTTCAATATAAAACATTACACTTGGGAGTGTTGTTATTATGTTACAGTCAAAGATTTCAAATGTTCAATAAAGATTTTATATAGTGAAATATTTCAATATAAAAAATTGTATCTAGACACTTTTAACGAGCCCTGTCACTCAAGAGTCATGTTTGTCACCATTCAGCCACTTCTGGTCATTGCCAGGCATGTAGCCATAGCATAATATATTTCATTATAAAACGTTTTTGTTTTCAATCGGTTTTAGTTATAGTCTATATTAACATTAAATATAACCTATAAATCCATAACCTTTTGGCCTATTTAAAAATAATAATTTAGAAGCCAAAAATGACTTAGGCTATCTATCATATAATGCAATCAAAGAAAATACAAATTAATGGTATTATCTTTCATCTATCAAGGCCTATATTTTGTTTTCATAAGCATATTGTACAAATAATCTCATTAAAATGTATGTTGTCATTTTCAAACCTAACATAAGCACTAAAAGTAACTTTTCATTGAGTTATAGCGATGTAATAGCTGTATCAAGATGCAGAAATGACAGCCTATCTTGATTTACAGAGAAACTTTGTGGGGAAATAAAGCAATAAGAAGCTCCGATTCCATGCATGTGGTGCACCTGTTTTTTGGCTTGGGCTTCATTTGACCTCAGGTTAGGTACACTGTGGGCATGCGATACACCTGGAGAGTGTCACCATACATTCCTCGAGTTACACGATATGCAAGAATAAACATTGTGTGATACTACCTCAGACCTGTGTGAAAAGAAATGGATTGAGTTTGACCACTAGGCCCTATATAAACCATGCAAAATTGTAACAATCATGCAATTTAAATTATAATTCTGCACACCAATGGCAGAATAGCCTATCCAAAGATGCCATCAGATTGTGTATTTGATACCTTAGGCTATTTCACGATACTTCACAATATTTTGGCACACATTTACATTACGCTCTTTTCCAGAGCGACTTACAGTTTATTTTTTCATACTGGCCCCCCTTGGGAATCGCACCTGTGTAGCAGAGGTTATTAGCTTATAATTAAACTGAATTTAGGCATACATTTTAAAACTAATTTCACCAAATCTCAATTTAATTGGTCTCCCGAGTTGCTAAGCCCTAGCTGGCGTGGTCAATACAATTTCCTATTTTTTATGAAAATAAATCATCTTAAAATAATTTCCTTCCCTGGCGCCAATTGCCATTTTAAAGTGTAATCTGAACGTTTAATCTAAGTTTTGGAAAAATGTCTTCAGACAAAAACGCTTCTGTTAAATTATTTGAATAACCAACATTCACACTAACTGTTGAATAGTCCAATTCAGCCCTAAAACAATCAAAATCAAGACATTGACTCAACAACACCTAAGAAATAAAAGGCTAAATGATAGGTCTATTAGTGACTACACAACAGATGGTTTTGTCGGTGCATGTGGGTTACATGCAATTAAAAAAAGTAATATAAACATGCCTTTTAACACTTTGAATACATTGTATTGACAGCCTAACGGTAGTTGCTTATTGTTATAGTAGCAAAATGTTTATTTTTTTTGCAGCACTGCTTTGCATTGTATAATTCACCTCAGTAGTCTACTTACATTCTGTTGTGTAAACGTTTACTACCAGAATGACATTAAAATGGGCTATTGAAAATAGTTAATGTAAATAAATACTGTATATTAAGGGGATTTAGGAAAGGATGAGTAAAGAGTAACATTTCACCTTTTGTCTTCAAAAATGTCCTTTCTCCTGAATCCCTTTCCATAAAAAAGGTGTACTTCTGGATTCTGTAGAAAACAGAAAGAGAACAAATTACTTAACACATGCATATCTTATTCAATCAAGATGTGTTCCCATAGGTCTGTACACATTTGCAATACAGGTTATTATGCACACTTGGTATCACACATATTTTCACTGACTCCATATAGGGTTAAGTATAAACTCCACTTCTTATTGGCCCGGTTTCCATGAGCTAAGCACAGGTCTGTAAGTGATTGATAGGTGTAAGCAATGTTACCACCCTATTACTTTCACCAATCAAAACAGTATTCAGATCTGTGATTACTGCATGGTAAAATGATGCATTTTCAAGTATTCCAACAGGTATTCAAGTTATCAAGTATTCAAGTACAAGTATCCAAACACCTGTCCCTCCTTGCAGAGCCCATCTACGTGCCCTTCCTGATGGTGGGCTCCATCTTCGTGGCCTTCGTGGTGGTGGGCTCCCTGGTTGCTGTCTACTGCTGCACCTGCCTGCGTCCTAAGCAGCCCACCCAGCAGCCTATCCGTTTCCCCCTGCGCAGCTGCCAGGCCGAGACCATCCCCATGATCCTGACCACTGCGCCACCCAGCCTGCGCACCCCCTCGCGCCAGTCCAGCACGGCCACCACCAGCTCCAGTTCGGCCGGTGGGGGCAGCTCGGTGCGCCGCTTCTCCCTCGGAGGTCAGGGGCAGCAGCAGCACGGGTGCTTGGTGTCAGCGTCTGCATCCTTCTCCCCCTCCACGCCCCAGCCGCTGCTGCCACCACCCCCCTACACCTCCCCCACGGCCTGCATGCCAGGCGGCTGCCAGCAACCCCATCCCCACCCCTCCGCCCACCCTCACCCCCATGCCCAGCTGCAGCTGCACCAGTCCATGCACCCACACCAACACCCACACCCGGCCCAGGGCACGGGCTTCCTGCTGCCCCAGCAGTACTTCATCCCCCTGCAGCCGGAGCCCTTGTCCGGGGCCAAGGGCTTTGCAGACTTTGGACAGAGCTGACGGGGCTCCCTGGACAATGAGGAGGGGGATTACAGGAGCACTGTGTGAGGTGAGCAGGGTCGTGTTCATGAGGCGCCAAACGGAAGAAAACAGACCGAAACAGGAAGGGACTACCTGAACCTGTCCAGTATGAGTTAGTTTAACGCTGTGAGACATTTTAAATCAGTGAATGTTACTGAACATGACCCTGGTGTGTTGTGTTGACAGACAGTCAGCGGCTAAGGGGAGGACTGCCCTGACGTGCAGTACAGTTGGCCTGTTGAATGGAGACTGGGTGACAGGACTGTGAGGTGGTGCTCAAGATAAACCACAAGAAAGCTTCCTAGTCGAGCAGAGTACATTGGTCTTGTCTAAGTCAGTGGTTCCCAAACTGTGGGGGTCGGCGGGGGGGGGGGGGGGGGGAGACTCAGTCCGGCTTTCATCTTACTCCTGAAAGTTGTAATAGTAGAATGCACAAGGTGCAATTTCGAAATTGGATAGTGCATCATCAGTACCTCTTGTCACGTCAGTCATTGCATACCTTAGAGAGCTATTTATAACTTGTCAGAAATGTCCAGATCAACTACCCCATGTCAGCTAACGTTGTTTTAGCTAGTTTTTTAGCCCATAGATATTGTTGTAATTTTTTTGTCACTCAAATATCACGAATACACATTAGACATGGGGAAAATGTGTAGAATCGCAGGAAATAAGGTTTAAAATGGCAACAAAAAAATGTATCTGCCAACAAGAGGGGTGTGAACAGTTTGTGTCATGAACAGTGCTTGTGCCCATAGATATAGACGTGGTGGGGTGGGAGATGATCCCCAGTGCTGGAAGAGGACCTGAGTGAAATGGTTTGGGAACCCTGCTCTAAGTTACAGGAATGGAATCTGCTCAGACCAGACAGGACCTGTTTATTGGTCATTGTTGTTTTCAATGGCATGCACTTTTTCTATACATCTGTATTGTAAACAAGATGATCTGTCTTCCTTTTCCTTTTGATACACTGTTTGGTTAAATGGGGATTTTCAACTGTCACAACTTTGTCACAATAACTTTTGTGGCATCAACATTATTAAGAAGTGTTCTGCAAATTTTTTGGCAAGCTGTTGGACATTTAATACAAGGGAAATCAAATGATAATTTTGACAATCACAAGCCTCTCTAAAAGAGGGGAAGGACTGACACCAAGTTGTGCAGTAGGGTGGGCAAAGCCGAAGGATGTACTGTGTACAGTGTTCACTGGTTTGATGCTCTAGACCAGGTGTGTCCCAACTTGTTATGTAGGGCTATGACACACAAATCAATAACCAATCATATTAGCCAACTCCAAATAAGAGTCCAGTATTGTATCTTGTCACCAATCCAGTATTGTGAGTATCTTGTCATGCAATGCTACAAATATAAGTAAATTAGAAAATGTTTAAAACACTCCCCAGTTTGTCAGTATTTCAGAAAAATTGAACCTACTCTTTAATAATCCAACAGTGGATGGTTGAGAATTGCTTCATTGCTCATTTATGAATACATTCTTTAGTAGTGCCAAGAGAGAATGCCAAGAGTGTGCAAAGCTGTCATCAAGTCAAAGGGTAGCTATTTGAAGAATCTCAAATATAAAATATATTCTGATTTGTTTAACACTTTTTTGGTTACTACATGATTCCATATGTGTTATTTCATAGTTTTGAGGTCTTCACTATTATTCTACAACATAGAAAATAGTAAAAATAAAGAAAAACCCTTGAATGAGTAGGTGTGTCCAAACTTTTGACTGGTAACGTATATGCAACTAAAACAGTTGGAGATCAGTCATTCGCTACCTGTCGCTCACTCTTGCGCCATACTTCACATGAGGAATGTGGCAATGAGATCAGTCATTGTCAATGCTCAATGAGCATGTCATAGCCACAGTGTTAAAAACAACTGGTCCCAGAAATAGGGAAAAGTTTTGGGTTGCACGAGCAGGTATGGCAAGTCCACAAAGACTGCTCTGTTCCCTAGTAATTTAAGCGTGAAATCGACTTGGCAATCACTGTCCTATTATGGCAGATAAGATAGAATAGTTAATAAAGCGGATAGTGTTTGGGGCTAGATTCTGAACCTGCCAAACAAAGGAAAAATGACAGCAACACCCAATGACCAATGCAAGTTGTTGCTGTCATTTCTCATTTTTTTGGAAGGCTCAGAATCAACAATGTTTAGCTAGACAAGCACCCCAGTCCAATAGAAACCGTTGGTAACACAGGCAGACCTGTATACTACTGTTTGTAGCTATTCTTGCTGTAGTTGCTCAGATGTCGCCACAATAGTTTTCCTATATTATTAAGGGTCTTGTTATTAAGGTTTATGACCTCTGGTCATAAAAACGCTTGAACTCACCGTCTTTCAGATACTGTATTTTAGAGGTATCATACTGCTCCGAATCATTTTATAACTCAAAGAAAATACTTCACAGATTTCCACTTTTTTAAAGTTACATTGACAGTAATACAAGTATTCTTGTATGAATACTTTAGCAAGGGTACACCTGGTTGGGAAAAGATGGCTTTTGTGAACTAACGACAAAAGAGAAACTACCCATTCCCAAGTGGGGCAGATGGCTGGACACTGGACAGATCACACAAGTCCATCTAGGTTGGTTTTGTTATACAGATAGTGGATACTTTGTCAATAACAGAGACAAATTATTGTAATTATAACGGAAGGGATATCCTACCGCACGGCCGCACAGTAAACCTCAGATGACCAGTCATCAGGGAATACAACAGGAGAGGGTCAGCTAAATCATAAACGATAACCATAATGATGACATTTGTTTGTCACACATGGAAGGGACCGTCTCCCCTGCCCTTTCCTGTTTAGGTTCTCAGCGCTCTGTTTGCTGCCACAACTAGCTGCCTCCCCTCATTTTTGGACAGTTAGAAAGTCCTAAATGAGGGATGGCACCTTATCCCAACATAGTGCACTACTTTTGACCAGAGTAGTACACTACATAAAGAATAGGGTGCCATTTGGGACGCAGACAGATTCCCATAGATATTGTGATAGTGGAATATTTCACTTCTGTGATGGTAGATGATGACAAAGGTTGGTTTCCATGTTTGTAAAGTTGATTTTAATAGTAGTCCTTTATGGCAGTAAAAGACAGAACACTTAAAAGTTTGCAGTCCCAACATGCAGAACAATCATTAAATGAAAGACTTAAAAATAAACGATATTCAAACAAATTGAAAAGTGCATTTTTTTCTGTAAAGTGACCAACACTTGAGGGAGAATCAAAGTAGTACAATAAACACGTAACCGGAGAAGGTTTTTAGTCCACTCATGCAGCCCACAACTTTCACAGACAAAAAGCAACAATCCAAGCCTTCCACGACCACTTTCACATCAGAAGACTCACATTCAGCATTTTGGAATTGTGACAGCAGTTGACATCTAATCAATCGAAACAGTATAGCGTAACAAATACATTTTTACTGATACCCTCACTTAAATCCAGGAAGAAACACAAAAAGGTTTATTGTAAAGTAGAGGTACACTGCATGAGAGAGAAAAAACTAAACAAGTTACAAACTTGTACACCCAGAGAAAATACACTGAAACCAATAACCAGATAATACCAAAATATCCACTATTGGAAAGGTAACAGAGTGCATTGTGCAACATCTCCTGTCAAGCGAGAGCCTTCGCGTCAGAACCCAGGACCCCCAGGGCTGAGGTCTGGCCATACACAGAGGGTCATACAGCAGCAGACAGTACACCATCATTATACCTGGAGTCATGCAGACAGACCAGAGGAGCAAGCGGCACCACACACACAGTCAGTCAGTCAGTCACCCACACACAGATCCTCAAACATATACAAAAACACAGTCAAAGAATGCAAAAGGAGACTGGAGGTTCCAAGGGCTCCCAGTCTCACACAAATGACACAGACATGCGTATGTAGAAGTTACCCACAGTAGAAGAGGTTACACACACACACACACACACACACACACACATGCACATGCAGACGGCAGATTAACACACACACACACACAGCCAGTCTGGAAACCGATCTCCCATAGGGAGAAGAGAACAAACACAGTTAATTAAGAAATAAACAAAGCAGGTATTATAATGACAATAATAACAACGAGACATTTAAGAAATATATTTTTCTTCATTCATTTGGGCATTCTTTTGTTTGTCTGAGAGAAAAAAATGAAAAACATATGGACAATTATTCATTACAAAGCCGGTCAATGCAAAATTCGTACTTCTCCAATATAAAAATACAAATTCTCAAAATAACTATAGAGAAAGAAGTTTTGATACTGTGTGGAGTTTCCTGGCAAATTTCCTCTCTCCCTTAAGCTAATGGCACTTATGTTAGAAGGATAAACTCTCCATTCTAAGGGAAAATACGTTTGTGAAAGAAGAGCCGCCACTGTAAGCATACGGAAATTCAACAAGATCGTCATCCAGCCACCCCCAAAATACTGGGTAGAAAGAAAGTAACAATGGAGCCGTGATTTTATATGTGCCACTTTACTTTTTACCACATTGTGAACTGGAGAGCAATACATGGGGGACAATGAGCTCATCTTGCCAATTAGTGGGTAGAGCACTGTTCTAAACTAGCTAGCTAGGATATCTTATGTATTCTATCAGGGAAAAAGTTGAGTTAGGCACCATTGTGATTGTTGCAGCCGAGTAATGTGTGGAATGCAATTTCTTGTATAGAGCAATCGAAGTGCTGTATTAAAATGGTGGAAATTGGATGAGTTGAAGGACGCTATCATTAAAAAGACAACTAAATTTGGGCACGATAACTACATAATTCTAAAATAAAAACATTTAGAGGAAAAACAAACAAGTATGGCTGAAGGCATGAACAAATGTAAGGCCTTTTTATACAGTAGAAGTGCACAAAATAACAACAAAACAACAAAATGTCTGTTCTGAAGTGGTCCGTTCAGAGCTGGAATAGACTCAGGAGTGTCAATATTCTTGGTTGAGATTTTTTTTTTTATCGAAGCTATAGCCGACTTGAAAGAGATTGCATTTACAACTGCTATTTCGCAAAAACAAATCTGGATTATTCTGTCACCAATCGGAATACACATACAACATTTGTAACGATTCTGGAGCAAACTATATATATTTTTTGCTCCACATATTTTTTTCTATCAATAGGAATGGAGGAGACATTAAGAAGTGAAACCACTTCATTAGATAGAGCAAGAACAGAGAAACTTCAGACCAGACTGCTAAAAATGCAAGCACAGTGCTCATGTCTGCTGGACACACAATCACTGCAGTGAATACTTTTTGAACACTTTTTTGTTCCTATTTTTTTTTCCCTTTTTGAAGTACAATACATCCCTCTGTCTTTTCCTTTATCATGTCCAATATCCTGCGATGCTCGGGCTGGGGTCATCCGGAGACTTCCCCGTCAGGTTCAAATCACCGTTGGAAACGGCTGTGGCTCTTAATAGGCCGGCCGGGCGGAGAGGGGCGTGGTTTCACCACTCGTTGGTCCGCTGTTTGGTGGTGTCGTACGCCCGGATGACCTCCGACTGGGAGACCACTCCGTTCTCGTCTTGAGAGAAGGCGTAGCCGTCTGCAAGCAGGACAGATGGACAGAGTCAGAAATGATGGCTGACGTTCAAATTCTAACCGTGATTAGAAACAAACAAACTTAGCTTGAACTAAACCATTTAGAAACAAAAGCAGAAAACTCATAAAAAAATGTTTTTAACTGAATAAAAATAGATTAAAGAATTGCTTTCAAAATAAACCCAGAATGAAGTTATAAAATGACATTGACTGAAAATACAATTTTCAAGCTCCTCAAGAAGCTTGACCAGTGCTAAGCGAGGGAGGGGCAGTCATGTTACCTGACACCTCCTCTCTTTACTTAGCTATACAGCCACTACCTACAACTACGGGAGTTCTTATCCTAACCTTTGACCCCCTAACTCACCTTTAGGTCTCAAATGATTCAGTCACTACCTGCAGGCCAGCAGATGAGTTCAAAAGGCCCGGTGAGAGGAGTGCATTGTGGGAATAATATCGCAACATTTAATGAATCGTTATATCTGTAACTACCACTAACACAGGTCACAGCACACAGGGGAGGAGAGGTGGGTACATAGAGGGCTTTTCACACTATTGAGCTGAACCTAACCAAACCAAGCTGTACTAAGATGACCTGGTTACACATCCACCATAGTTGCTGAAAGCCTGCTGAAAAGGACAATGTGTTTCGGATCGGCACGATACTGTGAAAAGGGCATAGGGTGGGTTTCTAATAGGGATCGGGGGTTTGGTTTCTCTACAGGTAAGAACGTCAAAATAAAAAGGGGTCACACAAGAACGATCCCTTCCCCACCTACGAGACAAACAAAAACATAAAAAACGATCAGCGAAAGAAACAGATAAGAACAAACATAAATAAATCTAATCCAAAATAAAACCCATCTGTGTTGCCTTATAGCTTCAATCTAGACTACTATGCCTACGAGATTTGTATTAGACGGGACGTGACTGTCCATTAGGGTGCGTCATCAAAAGCACCTTATTCTCTATATAGTGCACTACATTTGATGAAAGCCCTATGGGCCCTGGTCAAAAGTAGTGCACTGTAAAGGGTGCCATTTGGGACACACATAAAGTGTTTGGGGGGGTTGTATTAGCAGGCGGAGGGACACCAACGGGGAACAGTTGGATGCTTTTATGTTACTTAATGAGGTTAACGACAGGATCATGTATGTGGTTGTCATGTATTTGGCTAATGTGGAACATGCTTATCGAATTCTAAAGAGCAGTGGGATCAGCAGAGTATTAGCACTTCTCCAACGCTGAGGCTGCATCCCAAATGGCACCCTATTCCCTATGCAGTGCACTACTTTTGACCAGGGCCCATAGGGTGTCATTTAAGACACAACCGGAGTCCCCTTTGAAGCTACAGTATGTATGGAATCCCCATAGCATGGAACTATGTATCCACATAGGAACTACACTCAATTCAAAATGACTGTCTTGGGGTGTTGGACCAGTGCTGATACTGAGAGAAAATGGGTCTCTTTCGCTGAGAAAAACAGCATAAGGCTTGTCTTCAGGTCAGTGTATGAGGTGTGTGTGACTTACGTAGCAGGTTCTGCTGCATGGAGTCCGATCGGTACAGACTGACTGTGCTCTTCTTGAAGACGTTCTTCAGGAGCTGTGCCCTCTCCGTCAGACTGCAAAGACACACACACAGGAGAGAGGGAGAGAGAGAGAGAGGAGACCCCCAGAGAGTAGAGAGAGAGAGAGAGCAGAGAGAGGAGAGAGATGAGAGAGAGAGAGAGTAGATGATGAGAGAGAGAGAGAGAGCAGAGAGAGAGAGAGAGAGAGACGAGAGGAGAGATGAGAGAGAGAGAGAGAGGAGCCGAGAGTGAAGAGGAGAAAGAGGTGAAAAGCGAGAGAGGAGAGGAGAGGACAGGAGGAGAGTGAGTGAGCGCCACGCTGAGCCCTTCAGCCAGATTTAACCACCCATACATCAAGCCCTCACTCTCTCCCAGTACAGTTCTCCACAAGACAGAGGAGAGCGACCAGCTAACTGCACTTCCTGCTGAGGAGAGACCAGGCATTGGGGAGAGGAGGAAGGGATGGATTCTGTGTGTGAGTGAGTGAGTGAGTGAGTGAGTGAGTGAGTGAGTGAGTGAGTGAGTGAGAGAGTGAGAGAGCATTAATGTGTGGTGTGCGTGTGAGAAAGGAACTGAGTGTGTGCATCTCCATGCATCTGCTCCAGGGCCAGGTTCCTAGCCTGCTGGGTCTGGGCCTGTGGCCAGATGGTGGAGATCACTTTCAGCCGGCAGGAGATTTCACACCGATCTGATCCATGCTAATGCACTCCACAGGCCTTCGATGGGACCCGGCTAACTGATCGCTATGTCCCAAATGGCACCCATTTCCCTATGGGCCCTGTTCAATAGTGCACTATATAAGGAATAGGGTGCCATTTGGGACATAACCCACCTCTGGGAGTTCAGCTCAAGATGCATGGCTTTAATAAGCTGGAGGCACTACAGTACACTACAGTACACTACAGTCTCTCGCTACACACTTTCAGAGGGAGAGAGTAATGTTCCAAGCATGGGTTATCCTGGATGGATGGCCCAGAGCAGAATTCAAAGAGTAGAGGTAAGAGTGAACTGTATAGTGTACAGTAGGCAGCACATGATTACACCATACCTACTAAAAATAGGGAAGCCAAAGGAAATATGATTTAATCCTCAGGGGGAAAATATACATGTATAATTTAAAAAAAAGTTATACACTGTATGACACTAAGACAAGTGTTGTACATGGGTTGTAAGAAGTAATAGAAAGAGTATTTGTGAATTCATGATATGGAGAAATGTCATTAATATGTATAAGGGTCTTGTGTATTAGGAAGGATACATCCTAACCTACAAACAAAGCATTTGCAAGACTGCATCCCAAATAGCACCCTATTCCCTATATAGCATACTACTTTCGACCAGTGCACTTTATAGGGAATAGGTTGCCATTTGGGATGCATTTATGGAAAAGGAGGAAGGTGAGAAAAGCGTGTGAGACGGTCCAGTACCTCTTCCCATGCACCAGGGCTCCGGGGTCCTTGGACAAGGCTTCCAGTTCCTGCACCTCATCCACCAGGGTCTTAAAGCACACCTTCTTCACACTGTGGCTCAAAAGGAACAGACGTCACCAACAGGCATTCACAACCACAGCATTAAATACATCACTATTCCTTATATTATTATACAGTAGTATTATATTGTATCTCGATGTAACACACCATCCCAAATCAGTCCAAGAGGCTTTTCTCAAAAGTTTACATGCAATCTGAATTAATTCTGCATATCATCTATAAATCAGGCGAGGTAGATGTCCGGTAAATAAAACCACTATTAGCTTTAGTTGCCAGTTCAATCTGCTGTAAGTTTGATTCCTCTGGCTTTCCCAGGACTATGAGGCTGATTCAGAGTTGAGATACCTAAACTAAGTCTCCCATTGACCTCAATTAATGATGTAAGTCTGAATGGTCCACACTTACATAAACTCTGAATCGGTCGATATTAGAATAAATCTCTTGCTATAAATCAAATAACTATAAAATATTACACTGCATGTTATTTATTGGTGGTCTAAGGAGTTTCTCAATACATTTCTCAGAGAGCAGAATCTGCAACAACAAAATATACCGGTAACTATAAATGTTACACCTGCATGTCTGAGACCTCTTTAGTATTTATGATTTTCCGATTTTTTTTAGATTTTTAGCTTGCAGGCAGACACTAGAATAAGTTTCTGAGTGACAGAGTGAGGGCTTTGTTGTGTTTTTTGTGGGACTTGGAAAAAATGCCTGGCACGTAAAATAAAGTTATTAACCGATTCCCTTTTTTTTTGTTTTTACGTGCCAGGTATTTGTACCCCCTTTTTCTCCCCAGTTTCGTGGTATCCAATTGGTAGTTACAGTCTTGTCCCATCGCTGCAACTCCCGTACGGACTCGGGAGAGGTGAAGGTTGAGAGCCGTGCATCCTACGAAACACAACCCAACCGAGCCGCACTGCTTCTTGAAACAATGCCCGCTTAACGCGGAAGCCAGCCGCACCAATGTGTCGGAGGAAACACCGTGTCAGTGTGCACTGCGCCAGGCCCGCCACAGGAGTCGCTAGTGTACGATGGGACAAGAACATCCCTGCCGGCCAAACCCTCCCCTAACCTGGACGACGCTGGGCCAATTGTGCGCTGCCCCATGGGTCTCCCAGTCGCGGCCGGCTGCGACAGAGCCTGGACTCGAACCAGGATCTTTAGTGGCACAGCTAGCACTGCGATGCAGTGCCTTAGACCACTGCGCCACTCGGGAGGCCCCGGTTCCCATGTTTTTAAAATAACGGTTCTGTTTCAGAACACTATGGATCACTTTCGTTTGCGGTTCTGATTCTGTTCCTCGAAAAACAGTATTTTTCCGGATCTGTTCCCTGAACCGGTTCCGACCCCTGCACCACAGAGATCCTATAAATTACTTCTATATGTAATTGTATATTCTAAATGTATTTATATATGTAAATGTCAGACTGCATGTGATCTAAGGAATTTCCAGAGAGCAGGACATGTAGAGGGGGTGGTGGTGATGAGTGGTGGGGAACTCACACTTTGTAGGCCACGTCAAAGACCAGGGAGGTGATAGGGATGAATATCAGGCCCATCCAGAAGACTCCCGAACTGAACATCATGTCCGCCTGAGACACGCACAGAAAAACAGGAACACATTCCTTAGGTGATTGCAGACAAAACAGGGATCACTAGGTGAAGCAGTAAATGGTCAGTTTGCTTTAGGCATTCTTGTTACATCTTTTATAACAACAACCAAATCACCCACAATAAACAAATGAATAGGTTAAAATAATTAAATGATGGGTAAACCCAGTTTGACCATACATGGTAATCCACCGTGACTAAATTAGATGATGTTGTTTGTGTTTTAATTATGATCCTGAGAACCCCTGGGGCTAAGGAAGAAGCTTTGGCAGTTAGTTACTGTGATGTTCTTTACTATGGTTGTTAGTTACTGAGGCGTTCTTTACTAGGGTTGTTAGTTACTGTGGCGTTCTTTACTATGGTTGTTAGTTACTGTGGCATTCTTTACTAGGGTAGGTAGTTACTGTGGCGTTCTTTACTAGGGTTGTTAGTTACTGAGGCGTTCTTTACTATGGTTGTTAGTTACTGTGATGTTCTTTACTATGGTAGTTAGTTACTGTGGCATTCTTTACTATGGTTGTTAGTTACTGTGGCATTCTTTACTAGGGTAGGTAGTTACTGTGGCGTTCTTTACTAGGGTTGTTAGTTACTGTGGCGTTCTTTACTATGGTTGTTAGTTACTGTGGCGTTCTTTACTATGGTAGTTAGTTACTGTGGCGTTTTTTACTATGGTAGTTAGTTACTGTGGCGTTCTTTACTAGGGTAATTAGTTACTGTGGCATTCTTTACTAGGGTAATTCGTTACTGTGGTGTTCTTTACTAGGGTAGTTAGTTACTGTGGTGTTCTTTACTAGGGTAATTAGTTACTGTGGCGTTCTTTACTAGGGTAATTAGTTACTGTGGCGTTCTTTACTAGGGTAATTAGTTACTGTGGCGTTCTTTACTAGGGTAATAAGTTACTGTGGCATTCTTTACTAGGGTTGTTAGTTACTGTGGCGTTCTTTACTAGGGTTGTTAGTTACTGTGGTGTTCTTTACTAGGGTAGTTAGTTACTGTGGTGTTCTTTACTAGGGTAGTTAGTTACTGTGGTGTTCTTTACTAGGGTAGGTAGTTACTGTGGTGTTCTTTACTAGGGTAGGTAGTTACTGTGGTGTTCTTTCCTATGGTAGGTAGTTACTGTGATGTTCTTTCCTATGGTAGGTAGTTACTGTGATGTTCTTTCCTATGGTAGTTAGTTACTTTGGGGTAGGGTGTAGCTGATCTAAGGTCAGTTTTGCATTCAACCCTCAAATGATTAAGGTAAGCATGTAACTAATCCTAGATCTGTGCCAAAAGGCAACTTCCAGTTGTTACGGATACAGGTATCCTGTGTTTTTGTGTGTTTCTCTCCTTCTGCCCTAATCACAGGTGTCCTGTATGTTCCTGATTGGTGGTCGTTGAGGTGTCTGCTGATTGGACCAATCAGTGAACATTCCTGTTAATTGCACCACCTGTTATTCGTTTGTTCAATCACACATCCCATTTTATAAAAACCAGACTTGTGTTTGTTGCAAGAGAGACTTTTTGCCATATGTGAGTATGGACACGGTGGTGTCCTGTGTGTTGTGTACGCACTAAGTTGTTGGTTACCCTATTGGTAACGTTATTAGAATATATTTCTTTACCTGAGTGTGGATACTGTTGTATCCTGTGTACTTATTTAATTGCTGATTACCCTGTTTAGTAGCTTTGTGTGTTTTTTGGGAAAAGGGGAGTTTAAGCTAGTTGCCCTTGGGCGTACATTACCCGTAGGAAGAAATCTGTCTATAAACACCAGTTAGACCTGAGCGGACCACCCACTGTATTTTTGTATGGTAGCAGTAGCCTAGCGGTTCTGCAGGCAGGCTAGATCAGTTTAGGGGGTTTTACACTATTGTTTCATTTCTTGGGTCCTGCTCAGCCCTTTTTCCCAAACCTTTACCGTGTGTTTAGCAATAAACCATTTGTGTTTGACGGTAGTTCATGGTAGTTGTGTCATTTTTGTTCTCACTGTTCCATGCCACACTTATAATTTACATGAATTTATGTTACGGGTCTCTTGTCCATCCACCCTAGACGTTTAGAGCCACGGGGTTCGTAACATAAAGTGGGGGTTCGTCCGGGATCTATCCCATGCTACTCGTGCAAATTAGTAAGTGTCTGGTTCAGTGTTGAGCTTGGCAGCTGTACTACCTGTTTTTTTGTGTGTTCAGTAGTCGACGGCTCGTGTTGCTAGTAGGATGGCTACTTTTGATTTGGAAGCATTTTTGGAAAACCCTACGTGGGAGATTTTTGAGAATTGTCGTAGAGTGGATCTACAGGCTTTGGCTGACCACTTTTCTGTACCCATACCGAGGGGTTTAGTGAAAGCAGAAGTTAGGGAAGTAGTGCTAGCGATATTGTTAAACGAGCGAGTGCTTGAGTTACCGCCCGCCTGAGTCTGCTGCTCCTGTAGGGGATGTGGTTGCTGTTCCTGTAAGCCCATCAGTGTCTGAGGACGAGACTAAGGCTCCAGCCACATTGCCCCGTTATGACCCACTCTCCCCACTGACTGACAGTGATGCCAGGATGGATGTCCGCTCGACACGGCTCCAAATGGAGGCGGAAGAGCGGGCACAAATCAGGCAAGACAAGCTGGAGATGCGTAAAATGGAGCTAGAGGCAGAACAGGAGACGCGTAAGATAGAACAGGAGACGCGTAAGATGGAACTGGAGACGCGTAGGCTTGATCAAGAACTGGAGACGCGTAGGCTTGATCAAGAACTGGAGATGCGTAAAATGGAACTAGAGGCAGAAACAGCGAGGTTAGTCTCTGCTAATACTATGCCTGCTAGTGAGCCATCCTCACCAGCTGTGTCATCTGCTACGTTTGATATTAGTAGGCAGATCACCTTGGTACCTGTGTTCAGGGAGTCAGAGGTTGATTCCTATTTCAGTGTTTTTGAACGTATAGCGGTAGCATTGAAATGGCCCGACGAGGTATGGTGCCTATTACTTCAGTGTAAGCTAACAGGTAAAGCCCAAGAGGTTCTGGCAGCGCTACCTCTTGAAGACAGTTTGAATTATGAGGTGGTCAAAGCTACTGTTCTTCGTGCCTATGAGCTTGTTCCTGAGGCATATCGACAGAGATTTAGGTCTCATAAAAAGTCTCCTACTCAGACTTATGTGGAGTTTGCTAGAGACAAAGGAAATCTGTTTGACAAATGGCACAGTGCTAGTAAGGTAACTGATTTTAACTCTCTACGGGAGTTAATCTTGTTAGAAGAGTTTAAAAATTGTTTACCGGAACGCATTGTAGTTTATCTGAACGAACAGAAAGTATCCTCACTGTCGGAAGCGTCTGTATTGGCAGACGAGTTTGTGTTGACGCATAAGAGCGTGTTTTCGGCTCGTACGGAGAGCCGGGCTGCGGAGTTGCTAACTTTTAATCCTAGTCGACCAGCAGTACATCCAGCACGCCCAAAAGATGTGCGTCACTGTTTCTATTGTCATAAGGTGGGACATATAGTTAATGATTGCTTTCTGCTAAAACGCAAACCGGGGATGCCTCAGCACGCCAGGCCGCCAACGGGTGTTGGGCTGATTCGTACGGTTGTAAGGCCGGAATCAAGACAGAAGCCTCATAGTGAATGTGGTTTGAAAGTCCCTGTCCCAGATCACAGTTATGAACCGTTCATTTTTGAGGGGTTTGTTTCTATATCAGATGATGAAGCGTCTCAGCGTCCAGTTAGAATCCTCAGAGATACTGGTGCGGCGCAGTCGTTCATACTAGCTGATGTGTTGCCCTTGTCTAATAATACATATTGTGGTTCCAGTGTGTTAGTACAAGAAATTGAAATGGGTTTCGTCCCAGTGCCATTGCACTTTGTGAACGTACACTCTGAGTTAGTCAGTGGATTGTTCAGAGTTGGCGTACGTCCGATGTTGCCAGTAAAAGGGGTGACCTTTATAATGGGCAACGATATTGCCGGAGGAAAGGTAATACCCATATTGGAGGTATTGGATAACAGTGACCAGTCTCTCTCCGAGGAGCTGGCACAGGGTTATCCAGATGTGTTCCCCGCTTGTGCTGTCACACGTGCTCAAGCACGACAAGTGGGTGAAGTGGTAGATTTGTCAGACACGATTCTATTCAGAGAGTGTGACCCAGAGGATAGTTCGGGTGCTACCTCTGGTAAGCTGGTGCAGTCTGACCAACAGCCCAGAGAAAGGAAGAAGGATGTGGAACTTGTTGCTGAGGCAATACAGTTACCAGTTACTCGTGAGCAGCTGATCGCTAACCAACAGGTTGACATTAGCCTGGCTAAATGTTTTTCTAGTGTTGTCTCAGAGGACGAGCTAAAGAAGAAAAACATGGCATACTTCATTGATGGTAATCTCCTCATGCGTAAATGGACATCCCATGTTGACGCTGGCGGAGATTGGAATGCTGTTTACCAAATAGTGATTCCTACAGCCTTTCGACAAAATGTTTTATCCCTCGCTCATGATCACCAGTGGTCCGGACATCTGGGAGTCACCAAGACTTATGATCGAGTTTTGCGACATTTCTTTTGGCCTGGCTTAAAACAAGATGTGGCTCAGTTCTGTCGGACTTGCCACACCTGTCAAGTAGTTGGGAAACCGAACCAGGTTATTTCCCCCGCGCCTCTTTGTCCCATACCGGCCATAGGTGAACCATTCGAACATGTGATGGTTGATTGTGTTGGACCATTACCAAAAACAAAATCTGGTAACCAGTTTATGTTGACAATTATGTGTGTGGCCACCAGGTACCCAGAGGCCATTCCTCTGCAAAGGATTACTGCTCCAGTGGTGAGTAAAGCGTTGATCAAATTCTTCTCAACTTTTGGATTACCTAAGGTGATACAAACTGATCAGGGTACGAATTTCCTTTCTAAACTTTTCAAACAAGTGTTAAAATCCTTGTCAGTTACACACCGTGTGTCAAGCGCATATCACCCAGAGTCTCAGGGTGCGCTTGAACGTTGGCATCAGACCCTGAAGTCTATGCTCCGTAAAT